GTGTGGGGGGGGGGAGGTCAAGGGGGTTTATCATAGTCATAGTAATTTATTCCATAGAACAATATTACATTTTATTGGAAATTAACACAAATGAAACTAAAATCGAATAAAATTTAAATATCATTTGACAATCATTCTACATTTAATACTTTTCATGTCATCACTAAATATTTTTCATGTCATAATAGATTATAATATATTAAGCAGTACATAAACAAAAAAATTACATTTTTTTATAAAAATGATTTAAGTTTGTTTTGAAAATAATTTTAAATGAGGTAGGCAAAGAATTAAATAGTGCAATGGCTTGATGCTGTGGGCGTACAACATTCAACGTTGGTGTGATTGAAATTTTTAAATCTTTTCGACATGTCATTTCTCTTTTTTCTTTTTTTCGTTTGTTTCATATTTGTAAATTTTTTTTACTAAATATGTAAGTGAAACTAGGATATAAAAAAGAGGGAACCGTAAGTATGCCAAGTTTTCGAAAATGTCCTCTACACGACGACTCAAATTGTGGAATACGTAACATGGTGCGGATCGCTCTTTTTTGTAATCAAACGCTGTCTTAATGTTCTATGTATTTATAACTGTTGCCCCAGAATTGTATGCTATAACGAAGTTTTGATTCTACTAGAGTAAAATAAACAACTTGAGTTGCTTTAACGTAACTTCGTCCCATAAACTTCTTAAGGCATAGCACGCTGAATTGATAGTCGATTCTAGTGCTTTCATTTCCTTTTTCCAATTCAAATACATGTCAATGTAGATTCCCAGACGTTTAACTGATTGAACAGAGTCAATATTTTTACCGTCTATGTTAATGTTTATTGAGTCCTTTTTATAAACTATAAATCTAAGCTAATCATATCGTATCATAATATATAATTTAATCTCATTTAATCATCGATCAATGTATTGTTGATCGAAGCATTTAATATTTGATCAACAATATTGTTGATCGAAGCATTTAATATTTGATCAACAGTATTGTTGATCGAAGCATTTAATCATGCTTTGTAAGCGGGTTGGCAACCGCAGTTTTACGCCGCTGCCCATCTTCTTACCATCATATACATTATGTACGAGTATTTTTCTTTTTCTTTTTTCTTTTCATAAGCGATTATGGCTATAATTTAATTTTCAGCCAGTGACCAATCTCAATATTACAAATATAAATTATATTTACGCGAACATTACACAATAATAACATAAAAAATAAAACTACTTTTACGGATTTTATAGCTATAATTTATTTTATTTTTAACTCTGACATTTCGGGTACTTACTAGCACCCATGGTCACGGGGGACTGAGGTGATCGACGTCCCGATTAATTTTAAATTTATTAATTACAGGGTCCAAGCAGGTGGTAGTACCCAGCCTCCTACTCTATTGAAATTAGGATGTTTTTAATTTCAATAGTCTCACGTATCATTCTTAGTATGTATCGAGGTTCTGTCACGAGGATTTTTGGTCTATCAAACCTGATGTATGTCTATCAGGTTAGTGCCGTCTAGAATATGATCACAAACTGTAGACTTCCCGCAACGTTGACGCTTCACGTCAGCTATATGTTTTTTTACGCGGGTTTAATTGGTCTTTTTAGATGCCCTACATATATATGAGAGACCACAATCACAATCAAGCTTGTACACTCCTGCATCTTGTAGAGGAATGTAACACTTGACGGATGATAAGAACTGACTAACCTTCTTCGATGGCTTGTAGAATGTTCTAATAAAAGCTCGTTTCAAGATGTAGCCAATTTTGTCTGTGACACCTCTGTCATATGGTAGTACAGCAGGCACACGCTTGACTGTGACGTAGGCGCGTTCACTCGGTTACTGTGACGTCGGCGCATTCACTCGGTCACTGTGACGTCGGCGCATTCACTCGGTCACTGTGACGTCGGCGCATTCACTCGGTCACTGTGACGTCGGCGCATTCACTCGGTCACTGTGACGTCGGCGCATTCACTCGGTCACTGTGACGTAGGCGCGGGACCCGAAGCTTATTGTCGTGCAGAACCTGCTTGACGTCGTGAAGTTCGGCGGTCAGGTGTTTGCTGTCACAGATTCCTCGTACTCTCTGTAACAATATTTGCCCACGGTAGCTAACTGTGAAGGATGGTGGTGAGATTCACCGTTTATATATCGGTGTTTATGTATCGGTTGTATAGGCTTTTTCTATACACAGTATGACCTATGGTATTGTTAGGATTTCGGATGACTAACACATCTAGGAAAGTTAAGGAATTATTTGCTTCCTCCGTAAACTCTTGTAGTATATTGAAAATTTTAGAGTGCTAAAAATGCAGTTACTTTGTCTGATGTTAAAATTTTGAAAGTATCGTCTACGTACCGCTTGAAGAATCTTGGAGTAACAGGTGCAGTAAGAATAGATTTCTCCTCAAATTCTTTCATAAATATATCGGCGACAATGGGTAATACATGTTAGCCCTTCGCAACCCCATCTACTTGCTTGTAAAACTCTTCCTTCCACATTAGATAGCCTGATGTAAGGCAATGTGTGAGTAGTACTGCATATTCTGCCAGCGTGTTATTCTCATCTAGTTCCCTAGTTATAATTGAGATGCAGTCTTCAACAGGTAGGCATGTAAATAGAGAGTGCACATCAAAACTGACCATAGTTTCATTGTCAGTATGTGTTCTTGTGGTGATAATATTTAAGCTAAGTGTTGAGCAAATCTGTAAGTTGGCAAATCGATCTGACTCACTATTTAACTTCGGAGGTTAGGCACACACAGGTATTATCGAATTAAGGTCTAGATTCAACTTCTCGGATTATTTCTTAATTAGATCGCTAGTTGTTTTAAGCCATTCGATCTAATTAACAAGCACTCTTCGCGAAAGACCTACCAAGGATGATACGTGAGGCCATTGAAACTAAAAAACATGCTAATTTCAATAAAGAAGGTTGGGTGGAAGAGGAGGCTGGCTGGAAGAGGTGGCTGGGTACTATCACATGCTTGGAACCCTATAATTAATAAAATTAAAAGCTAAACCTAAGCCTACTGTAAGTTCATTCTGCGTAGACCGGACCATAAATAATAATTTAAAAGCTGCAGGTACATCGGGTTAACACTAACATCGGAACGTCAGTCACCTCAGTCCCCCGTGACCATGAGTGCTGGAAAGCACCCGAAACGTCGAGAATTAAAAATAAAATAAATTAAACAAAATAAAATCTGTAAAAGTAGTTTTAATCAATATTACTGTTCATATTTAAAAAAATGTAATACATAATATTAAAAATATTATTAAATATTTATTTTTGTTAAATTTATTATTAGCGCAAGTACGGAAAGATAAAAACATTGCTGTGGCCGTAGCTTCCTCCGGTAAGCCGCCACGCTGCTAAGCGGGGGCCGCACTGCACTTCTGTTTTAAAACTCCCTCTAAATATAGCCCAGGAAGAATCGCCGATCTGCAACTTTAGCAAAAATAGTGCACGAGGTATAATGTACGAAATGCAAACTTTTAGTGTGGAACGAAAGTACAATGTCGCATAGAAAAGCTGCAGAAGCACTAAATTAACGCTCAGATTGCGCAAAACCGATGTAGGGAGGGTGACTTTCGCAAAAAAAATTTTATAAAAATATTAGATATAAATGATAAATTCCCAACTTCTCAAATTTAATAAATAAAATAACATTAATGAGGCAACCGCTATAAAAAGACAGAAAACCAGAAGAACACAATGACATCGCAATTCAATTGTTCACATCATTCCTAAGACGACCAGTTAACCAGTACCATAATTAACCATTGACTTTGCCGTGGGTCGAATATCCGGTAGTTTTTCCGGTAAAAAATACGTTTTATTTTAGTGATACTCTTTGCAAATATTTCATTTGGTTTGTAACTGCAAAAGATATTTCATTTGCTATTTTATCTACTGGTAAAATACAATGATCAAAAGAGTAAAAACGCATTTTTAAGGTAAATACAATGTTCAAGAAACAATAAAAGTAGAACAGTTCAAGGATGCGATAGCATGCTTCAGTTCTTTAAATTGTAGTAGGTATTTAAGGTTAATTATAAATATATACGAACGTGTAGTGGTGGTGCAAGAATATATATATACACTACCCCACGCCCTGTGAGTGTCGTAAGAAGCGACATATGGAAATAAACCACATGGGCAGCAGCATGTTCCTAATGAAAAATAAAAAATTTGCGATTAAGGTGCGTGTTTGAGCAAAATGCCGCGCTAGTCGTTATTTATGAGGTATTTAGGAGCTATCTGCTGGTTGTTAAAAAGTAATAAAAAATCTATTAAATTTCTACATAATCTTGATTCTATAATAGTCAATTCCTATTTTTTTTAAAGGACTACTACTTTTAAAAAAATAGGAACTGATGAATCTTCTTACGACTAAACCACAGAAATGCGAAATAATAATTGATAACATGCATCTCCCGGTAAAGTAAACATTATTTTATTTTGCGATTGACACTAATGGATAGGCAATTTATTAATGAACATTTTGATCAATTTAATTTTTTCAAAGAACTAAAATTCGATTTTATAAAGAAAATATTTTAAAATTTGGGCGTATTTTTTACGCGATATATTGTAGCGAGAGCGCGTGGAATGTATATAGGACCGAACGCTCCAGGTCGTTCGCCAGGAGTAGAGATTTAACAACCTGCCTACTAAGTTTGGCAACTATGGCAAATAACTCCCCATGAGCCAATCTATGGAGGAGGCCTATGTTCAGCAGTGAACTTTAATAGGCTGTAACAGTATATGTGTAGACGTAGAAATCTAGATCTTCCTTTAAATATTTCTGTTTATGTATTTTGTCGTGTTAAATAATACAATTCATGTTATTTAATATGTAGTTATTCGCGTGAATCTATGAAATCACCATTTTGTTTGTTTCAGATCCTGCAGTTGATAAAGATGCAGCTTTAAAGTAGGAAAATAACAAGAAATTTTGTATAAGATATCGAGTAACAAGACACTATCGCCATGTCTGAATCAAAAGCGAAGAAAAATCACAAAGTGTCACCGATTTTGAGACAGGTAAAATAGTGATAAAAGCGATTAGTGATAGCGATTAATCGAATGGTAATTAATCGAGGCACTATTATTTATAATGCCCGGGCAATATGAATGACAAGTTGAATAAGGCTACGTAATTAAAATTTATTAATTTTTTTCTTCAGGCTTCTCTTCTTTGGAATTTATTGCCTGATGATTAGAAAAGCGCCTAACGAATACTCGTTTAATAATTTGGTTCGCGAGCATTTACTGAGGAATCATTAGAATTATAATTAAGTTTGTGTATACACATAAATATATACATATATATATATATATATATATATATATATATATATATATATATATATATATATATATATATATATATATATATATATATATATACTAGATTGCCAGGCAGACGTTGTTCTGCCCTTTTCGAAAAAAATTGTGGGTCACTCATGGGCCAAAAAACTATCCTATCTCTCAAGAAGAGAATATACATATATATATAATGAATATGTGTAAAATGTAAACATACGGATATATATGTAGGTATTTACTTACAATATTATATCATAATCTATTTTGTGACATATAATGTGTATTTATTTTAGTTTCTTTTTTTTTCTTTCAATTGATACAACTACGTCAAACTCTCAACAATCCATGGTTTGACTGGTAAATAATGCCTTTAGACATTAAATCTGCCCTTTGTATCCTTTTTTCTATAGTAATGCAATAAAAATTTTAAAATAAAAAAAATTCTTCTCCCATAGACTACATCATAGGGCACTACTGGCAATCAGCAACCAAAAAAACAAAGTTTTTTATTATTTTGAACTGTCCTCCGGTTTCACTTCCCGTCTCTATCGGCCCTAACGGCACTGATGATATGAGGTATTACTCTAACGCCACCACTATTCGGCGACAAATTATCGCAGCAAATTATTATTCAACATTTTTATTTTTTTTATCTTGTTCTATAAGGGTGACAATCGGGGACACAATCCACCACCACACATGATAAGTGGCTGCTGTGGAAACGGGTTGTCACTCGTGAGGACTAAGATGGAATGCCTCGTGTCCAGTGAAAAGGGTCACCGGTACTTTGCACTCACCGTACGAAACAACAGCTTTAAGCTGCTATTTTGCGCTGTCATTCTGTGAGATCGAGGTCCTATCCTGGTTCTAGGCCGATCCCTTTCCCGATTTGTGCTACAACTATATTCGAAACATTTATTACCGTTTTAATTCCCCAGCTCCTGGCAGTGAGTGGCGTGGTGATATACATGATTGGCACGGGAGCCAATATCGCCTATCCCGGCGTGTTACTACCGCAGCTGCGGCAGCCCGATTCTGCACTACGACTCACACCTGATCATGAATCCTGGATAGGTAATTTTTTTCAGTTAGCTCTATAGTTTATTTTTTCTATGATATAATAGACATTATTACTAGTATGGGAGCGTCTATTTATTACGTGAAGCGATTTTGGTGATTTTTCTACCCTCCCACTCCCCTTGGTGATTTGTCGTGAGATATGGCTCAACCCCCTCACCCCTCCACCAAATCTCACGTGAGATATTTCAATATGCGTTTTTGAGTATGAATACGTTAATCTGTACTTGATTAAGTTGGGTTTATTTAAAAAAAAAAAACATAATTTGCTTAATTACTTTTATATAATTTGTGGAGTTCGCATCAGCGCGATAAACAATATTATTGTGTAGGATTTAGCCATATTTTAGATAATTTAAACCAATTTTTGTGAAATTTTACAGTTACTCACGTAACTTGTGAATGCCCCTATAAATATTAATAATAATGTCTATTATACTAGTATTTTCATAATAACTAGTAAAAATACTAGTAGCAGTTATTACACATTAACAGTTTAGCATATTTTTAGCTATATTTTTTATAGAATAGGGTGACAAACGAGCACACGGTCCACCTGATGGTAATTGGATGCTGTGGCCCATAGATATCTACATTTATTCTCGATTGAGAATCAAAATTTAGATGCGTTGTCACCCCTGAGAAATAAAATGGAAATGCCTCGTTTCCAGTAAAAAAGGGTTTCCGGATCTCTACACTCACCGTACGAAACACAGGAGTATTGAGCTGCGATTTTAAGCTGCTATCCTAGTAGAACGTGGTCCTTCCTCGGTCGAGCCGACATATTCGTGCTACAACTATAATACAGCTGTAGCATGGCTCTACCACGTATTTTATTTTAATTTATGAATATTTGTTAGTGTGGCAGCAACGCAATAATAGATTTTGGACAATGCCAGAGAGATCATGGCCTCATTTAAATAACGGTAGGATCTCGCAGTTTTTTTTACAATATTAAAAATATTCAGACTAGTACAATTAGGCAATGGCAATTCTCCCAAGGATGAAGATTAAAGAAAATATCCTTACTGTGGAAGAGCACCAAGTCCATTAGAAAACTGTTCACAAGCTAAAGATGATAAAATTGATTTTATAAGGTTAACATTTTATATTGTTATACGTAATAGAGCCATCCTGCAGTTATATTAGAACTATAGTTGTATTACGAATGGGTCGGCTCGACCGGGGAAGGACCACGCTCTCATAGAATACCAGCCAAACATTAAGCTCAATGCTGTTGTGTTTCGTATAGTGAGTGTAGAAAACCGGAGATCCTTTTTACTGGAAACGAGGCATTCCATTTTATTCCTCACGGGTAACAACGCATCTGCATTTTGATTCGTAATCGAGGATAGATGTAGATGTCTATGGACTACATCAACCACTTACCATCAGATGGACTGTGTATTCGTTAGTCACCCTATCCTATAAAAAAATTTTTTCGACGAACCCAGTAACTTGCAAATGGCTCATATGAAATTATACGTTACATTACGTTATTATTTCACATTATTACGTGACATTTTCCGTCGCAAATTACAGATAATAGCAGTATGTTAAATTACCATAGTGATTTGTTTGTTTTTATCCAGTTGACATTGCTATTGTTATTGTGACTTGCAAAAAGTAACCTTGAATCTGGGTGTCATCTGACTACTTCCGTCTTAAATTGCTATGAGGATGCCTTTTTACTGAAGCGGAGACGAGAAAAGATCAACATTGTTCGTGTTAGAGCCACGCTTAATATTATAACGTATTGTAGCGTTCGCACAAAATATCAACGTGGTCTTAACCTGATAAAGTCACACTGCAGCTATATTATGGTTGCAGCATGAATAAGTCACCTCAATCGGCAAAAAACCTCGCTCTGCTGCTGTGTTGCGAATCTCAAATGAATGACGACGCCTCAGACACACTGAGTTTCTAAAGGACCTGTCACCGTCACTGAAATTTAAAAAACGAGCGAGGCGAGCCTTACAGTAGTCGCATAGGATGTTTATCGTCTGACATCTCTTCTTCATCTTGATAGTAAGCAACATTAACAATATACCCTGAAAAATGCTATTTGATTTTTTTAAATCAAAATTAAAAATATCAATTGATTAGCGTCAGAAAATAACCTCAAAATTTATAAAAACTGAATACTGAAAAATTTATTCCAACAAAACAAATACATTTATTAATATACAAAAAACAATACATTTATTAACAAAAAAAAAATAATACATTTATCAATATAGTTTACATATACAAATAAGTTATTTAAGATTTGTTTTATTTACATACAAACAATATCGACGAAAGACGTCGTACAAATTACATCATACATGCTATGTATACAGGGTTATCTTGCAATAACCGACCAAATTTGCAGAGAAGGTTCAGAATAAGTAATATGGGTAAATAGTGAATAAATTTTTTTTTCAAAAGATCTGAAACATTTTGTCCTTTTTATCTTTTAGGTTTTTCGGTAGGTAAAAACGTTGTTGCCCAATAAATCACATTCGATTTAGGATTATTTCAAATAAAAGTAGAAGCCTTATTTACTCGTATTTTCAAAAACTGCAATAACGGTACATGATTAGTTATGAAATTTGTATACTCTTTGAAAAATAAACCTGTATATGTACCTGTCTAATAACTATTCGTGGAGAACGGCATTGGGTACATGTCGCAAGACACAATGGGTGCGTTTGGCAGAAAAAAGCGCTAGCAAGCGCTTGTAAGCAAAATGGCGATCGTAAGCGGTAAGCGCTGACAAATCGGGCTATTTTCCTCCGGGACACGATTGTTAGTTTTAACGGAGAACCTAACCTAATTTAAATATATGTTTGTGAAAGTATTCATATTAAAAACTTACCAATCATGAATTTTTAATAACATATATATGTTTATTCATGTCAATATATTACTTAAAACTAATATTGCACAAAACAACTTATAAACTCTACTTCAAAACAAACAAATTAAATAAGCAAAATGGCGGATTGTGTCAGCGCTACTGAAGTAGCAATCGTGTCCTGGCCGAAAACTATTTCAGCGCTTGTTTACAAGCGCTTGCTAGTGCTTTTTTCTGCCAAACGCACCCAATGTGTAATTGTTTTCCCAAATAATATAAAAAAATAAACGAAATAACGATTGACAACACATCTCCATTTCTTTTTAACCTAAAATAGATGTAGGTGTCTGGACCACAGCATTCCTTACCATTAGGCTAACTAATTGCTTGTCGTATATCTCACTAATCGCTATATGCATGTATGTCGCGACTATTGCTCTCTGTGTGTGAAATTTCATTACAATCGGTTCAACCATTTCGACGATTAGCCCAGCACAGTCAAATAGGCCAACAGATTTTTTTAAATGTTTATTCGTATCCTAATCGCATGTAAATAACTCCCTGAGCTTGATTTTACTGACAGAGACAGACACTAATTTTATTTGTTTATATGTTATATTATACTATGTATACAGTAAATACTTATTTTATTCTGTTTCATTTCAGCTTCAATCCTCGGCCTGGCTTTGATTTCTGGTATCATAGTGGCGCCCTTCAGTCTCCAGAAGCTAGGACGAAGACTGACCAACCAACTGAGCACGCTTCCAGCACTGGGTGGCTGGGCGGTGCTGGGCGCCGCTAAAGGGCCCGCTGCTCTCCTCATCAGCCGAACTTTGCTGGTAATTCAGTCCATTCTTTATTCTTAGACCAGATTTCTGCTATCTGTTTTTGGATATAGGTCTTATTAAGGTCATGTTCATTGACCATCACGCTCGGCAGACGGATGACTATCCCAGTACCAGACGTGGTGGTTTACGTGGTAGAGCCAAGCTGTAGCTATACTGGATGATTTATTCGTCGTTGTTGTCCTCTGCAGGGCATAAATGCCGTGCAGGTCTCGGGCCTCGGGGTGTACCCCTTTACCCGGATGTTCCTCACGGCACACTACAATGTGCCGGTCCTGGGCGCCTTGATGTTAAAGGCGTTGCTATGACGACTATTGTCGCAGTCGGTTAACTTATAAGAGAGGGAGGTTATCTATTAATTGTGTTTAAATAACACAATTATTTGTCAAAGTTGGCCTTTCTGCGGCATTGAGGGGTTTACTCGGACTCCCTAATCTATATAGGGAGGAGTTCTCTTGGATAAGGTCGCCCGTCCGGCGGCCTTGCATGCAACGGCGCGAAGCCGTTGAGGTGTTCATGTGGCCCGTTGTCGGCGCGGTCAAACATACCGCGCGCCAGCCGGACCACGAATTCATGAAGGCTCTCTATCTTGAGGTTGGCCGCTATAACGTCATTACGGACGTAGCGACCCGCACCGACTATAGTTCTTAATGACAAATTCTGCTGGGCCTGAAGTCGCCGCTTCTGATGATCGCTCAGGAGTGCATACCAGGCCGGAGCAGCGTATGTTAGCAGGGGTCTTATATAAGTTTTATAGATGGTTATCTTCGACTTTGTCGGTAACTTGGATGTCAGGACAGGACGTAGCATTGCCCGCGCACATCGAGCTTTGCGTATAGCAGAGTCAACGTGCGCAGTCATACGCAGCATCCTGTCAATCCGACATCCAAGGTAGGTCACGGCCTTCTCATATGCGATCTCCTGGCCTCTGAGGGTTAGCGGTGGTGGTAGATTTCTATAGCGGCGAGTGAGTAGAGCGGTCGTCTTGCTAACATTGACGGCCATCCTCCACTCATCCAACCATGGTGGCAGCAGGTCCAGCAGACGTTGCATCCTGGCAGCTGCTATGTGGGCTCTTCTGGACGACGTGAAGTATGCACTGTCATCCGCAAACAGTGCTAGTTCGACGTCGTCCTCCCATTCTTGCAAGTGTCCTGCCAGGGTGGGTATGTCATTAGTGTACGCCGCGTACAGGGCTGGAGATAGACAGCTGCCCTGTGGCACACCAGCTGCTATGGTCTTAATTGCGGACTCGGCGTCCTCTACGCAGACGTAGAACTTCCTGCCTTCCAGGAAAGACGCCACTAGCCGCAATATAGCAGGAGGGATACTTGTTTGCACATCTAGTTTATAGAGTAATCCTGTGTGCCACACCCGGTCGAACGCTTTCTCGATATCGAGAAAGACGCCCAACGATATGCGGCCACGGTTGTGTTCGGCCGCAAGCAGGTGCAGCACTCTGCTCAGCTGTGTTGCTGTTGAGTGACCCCTCCTGAATCCATGTTGCTCCGCCCGAAGTTGGATGCACGGGCGGAGACGTCTTAACAGTAATCTTTCGCACAGTTTAGCTATATGCGGTAGCAGCGTGATCGGCCTGTAGTTGGCAGCTCTACGCCTGTCCTTCCCGGGTTTCGGCAAGACGATGACTTTGCCTTTCTTCCAGTCCTCCGGGAAGTGGGATGTCCGCAATATTCCATTGTAGAGCCGACCTATCTCTACAAGGACTCTATTGGGCAGCTGTCGTAGTGCAGCATTAGTAATCCCGTCGTGCCCCGGCGCCTTCCTCGGTTGCAGGCGGGTTACTGTCCTCCGCAGTTCGGCGGGGGGAGATAAACCACTCTCCTGCAAGCGGTGGCGCGGGCGACGACAGGAGCTCCTGCACGCGGCTTTCCTTCCGTGAATGGGATTCCAGGAACTCCGCACTTGTAGGGTTCGGCATAAACTGCTCCTCGAAGTGCTCAGCTAGGATATCCGCTCTGCCCTTGGCATCGTAACGTTGAATGCCCGCGTTGTTGGTCAGCGGGCAAACAGGTGGTCGAGTTTTCGTTAACTGCCGGTTCAATGTGTAGAGCGACGCGTGCTGTTCATCAGCTTTCCAAATGCGCCGCTCCCAGGCCTCTCCTCTGTGGGCCTGTATTGGAACCGACAGTTCGTCTGACAAGGTGTTCAGTTTTCTCTTTACTCTAGGGCAGCGAGTACGCGCCCAGAGCTTCCTCAGCGCTCTTTTATGATTTAGCTGCACGCGTATCTTTAGCGGCAGCTCCTCTTTCCTTCCCGAGAGAGGGACGATCGTAGAGGCCGCGTTGAGGGCCTCCTTGATGCTCGTGGAAATTCTGGTTGCAGCGGCCTCTACGTCGTCCGCTGAGGTAATCGGTGTATGGACTGGAGGTCTCTCCTGCAGGTGTTGGTGGTAGAGCCTCCAGTCGATCTTGGTCTTACTGGCTCTGGGCGGTGAGGTCACTGCCTTAGTGCCAAGGGTTATCAGAATCGGGAGGTGCTGTGTATTCAGGTCATACAGCACTTCTACCACTACTGGATAGTTGACGTTCCTAGTGAGCACGATGTCTAATACATCCGGACGCTTCCTATGGTCGCTAGGAATGTGCGTCGGTTCCTCGGGACCTAGAACGTCATAGTCATGGTGTTCAGCGTCTTCGTACAGTTCACAACCCGGCGAGGTGATCACTCTGGACCCCCACGCCGGGTGTTTGGCGTTCAGGTCCCCGGCGATGATGGTGGGTGTTGTGCCTTCCATTACCGTCCGGATGTCTGAGGAGTGAAATGGAGTCCCTGGCGGGCGGTATGCTGCAAAGATCCTAAGTTCCTCGCCCGCCGCCTCCATTTTTATGCCGATTGAACGCATCGTCTGGAAGTCTGGCAGTTCCAGCTCCTGGTGGACGATGTCTCTCCTCACCAGGATCGCTGTCCCTCTGTAAGCGACCCCTTGAGGATCGACCTCGTCCCTCCTGTATATGTGGTAATTGGGCAGCTTAAGATGCGTTGATGGTCTTAATTTAGTTTCACCCAGCAAGATCACCTGGATGTCCTGTTGCTGGGTGAGAGTGCGGAGTTCATGGATCCTTTGACGGATCCCGTCCGGGTTCCAATATAACAGGCGGATGATTTATTTAACGTCTGGAAAAAATAGGATGTAACAGCTGAACGGAATAGAAGCCTATGGCACTGATATTTTACATTTTTTTCTTTTACATTAACATATTATGATTTTAATCTATCAAGAAATACTACTAATTGGGTATTATTTTAGTTTCGATAGTTTTTAATTGATTTATTTATTTAGTTCAAAATTTTTGTTTTAATTTTTTAATACTTATAGTTTTTTTCAAATTGTACCCAGTAATATTTATTAATAGATCGATTTCGTAATATGTTAATGTAAAAGAAAAATAATTGTAAAATATCAGTGCCATAGGCTTCTATTCCGTTCACCTATTACACCCTACTTTTTCCAGATTGTAAAAAAAAACATCCAATATAATGAATATAGCACGAAAGGGTCGACTAAATCGGGAAAGGACCATATATTCTGTGAGAGTATGGACTATGGAGAGTATGGAGTATGGAGTATGGAGGCATCTCTCACAGAATACCAGCGTAATATACTAATACTGCTGTGTTTCATGTAACTAGTGTAGAGAACCCTACCTTTTTACCGGAAACGAGGCGTTCCATCTTATTCCTCAGGTGTAGCATATGTAGATGTCTACGGGCGTATGGTGTACTGTGTGTTCATCATCATCATCATTACAGCCCTTCACAAGTCCACTGCTGAACATAGGCCTCCCCCAAGTAATGCCACAAAGAACGGTCCTGAGCCACCTGCATCCATCGACTTCCTGCATGTCTCACCAGGTCGTCACTCCATCTAGTGGGGGGTCGCCCTACACTACGCCTACCGGTACGAGGCTGCCACTCGAGAACCTTTCTTCCCCATCGGTTATCGTTTCTTCGAGCTATATGGCCGGCCCATTGCCACTTCAGCTTACTAATCCGTTGGACTATGTCGGTCACTCTGGTTTCACTGTGGATATCCTCATTTCTGAGTCTATCACGCAGTGAAACTCCGAGCATAGCCCTCTCCATAGCTCGCTGAGCGACCTTGAGCGTCCTCATACGGCCAGCGGTGAAGGACCACGTCTCAGATCCGTAAGTCATCACTGGCAACACGCACTGGTTGTACACTTTAGTTTTCAGAGATTGAGGTATACCTGATGAGAAGATGTGTCGTAATTTCCCGAACGCTGCCCAGCCGAGTTGAATCCGTCGATTGACCTCTCGGTCGAAGTTGGACTTACCTAGTCGGACTATTTGTCCCAGGTAAACGTACTCATCTACAACTTCGAGCATAGTGCTCCCAACAATTACCGGCATAGGTGTGACATTGACATTAAACATGATCTTTGTTTTGTCCATGTTCATCTTAAGACCTATCCTTTGGGAGACACCATTGAGGTCATTGAGCATAGTGCTAAGGTCCTCCAGCGATTCTGCCATAAGGACTATATCGTCGGCAAATCGAAGGTGAGTGATGTACTCGCCATTGATGTTAATACCGTATCCTTTCCAGTCCAGTAGCTTGAAAACGTCTTCCAACGCAGCGGTGAAGAGTTTCGGGGATATAACACCACCCTGTTTTACACCTCTCTGCAGTTGGATAGGTTTCGTACTCTGGTTCTGTACTCGGATAGCCATCGTAGCCCTACTGTACAAACACTTCAGCACTTCAATATACCGACAGTCAACTAGGCACCGCTGAAGAGACTGTAGCACCGCCCAAATTTCGACGGAATCAAAGGCTTTCTCATAGTCCACATACGCCAGGCAAAGTGGCAGATTGTACTCTTCGGACTTCTGTACAATTTGCCGAAGGGTATGTATGTGGTCTATGGTACTGAAGCCTTTTCGGAAACCGGCTTGTTCGGGAGGCTGGAAGTCGTCGAGTCTGCGTGCGAGACGATTCGTAATGACTCTCG